AAAGGGCGGGGGTGAACTGTAATTGGCTGGTTGAAAAAGCCATTGAAATGTTTGAGGTAAAGAGAAACCTAGTTTTGATCATAAAAATTATACTCGAATTCTAAAGTTTTTAAAGCCATATTTTAGAAAAAAAGAGTTATTTTTTAAAAGCAATAGATAACTTTTCCCCTGTGTTTACATAGCCTGATGCAAACACTCGGGCAGGTTGGGAGAATTCTCGATGGTTATGCAAACCCTCGACTTCGTCTCGGGTTTGCATAACAGTCTCGAATTCTCCCAACCTACCCTCGTGTTTGCATCAGGCTATGTAAACACGGAAAAAGTTTTCTATTACTTAAATATTAGCGTAGCCTGGACACGGCATGTTCCACGAAGTGGTTCTTGTTTTATTACAAAATCAAACACAGCTAAAGCTAAAATAGCAATAAAACGCAAGTAAAATGATTTCAGAGCCTTTATTCATTTGTGATGCTGCCGAAAAAACGACAAAAGACACATTTTAAATCTAAAAAATAATAACTACTTACAATACACAAGAAAACGCGTTTAATGAAAACCACTCTAGCGACTAATATTAAACTATTATTTAGATTTTATATTATGGAGATATTGTTCGCCCTTTATTACTTTGTATTTCAATAAAAAGTGCTTTGTATTGTTATTAGTAATAAAAAACACTAAAATACATAGTGGTATTTCGGCGGTGCGACAGAAGTGGCAAAATGTAAACGTTGATTGAGTCTTAATATTTGTGTTCCACAGATTAACTACACGCTATATGTATCCGCTTCACTAGTATATTCACAATTATGCGTACAATCGTAGTACTGCACATGCGCTCATTGAGCGCCTWTAATTTTCCTTTAATTTTCCATTTCTAACCCCGTAATTTTAACGCAGTTCCGAAAAACGGCCCTATATCCATCGAGAAAACTACTCTTGGTAGGGGAATTAAAGGACTAATCATATGAAAATGGCAAATTGTTTCAGTTTTGGAGTAAACCTATGGTTGTACTTTAATTAATCTTAGAGCATTATGTTTTTGTTATTTTTCTCATATTCTGGCAAATAATTTTTTTCTGATCTTTTCTTTTCTTTTCAAAGTTTTTTCCCTTCGTTTATCAGTAGCACTATCGTAAAATTTAATAAATAAATGGAGGATTAAAGATTTTTCTACAACAACAACAAATCCCCCCTTCCCTCCCCACCCAACCCAATTCCAATTCTCTCTACGGCAATGATCGGTTGTGTCTAGAGAGAAACACTTTAAAAAATAAAATGTGTTTRATTAAATAAGAGATATTCTTCTTCATATTCTTCTTCTTCAAAACGGCTACCATGTATTGTTTTGTTTTGTTTCGATCTCTATCACAGTAGATCGGCGAAACAGTGATCCCGACATATCAGAACATGTTGTGGCGTGTGACAGCAGCAATACTTCATGTATCACTATTTTAGTGTATACGGTACTATAAACCTTGAACAATCAASTGTTTGGTATCAAGAATGTTGTTCACATGACTTATCTACCTAATGCCATAAACCGCTGATCCGTGACTGTCACATATCAGAGAAGTGAACATGTATTCTTCAAAAGTAACCGTACAAACGCTCATCTCTAATTTAAAACCTAACGTTCTGGATGAGCTTGGGATGTACCTCAATCCAAGAATGCCACTAAAGGACTTTAGGACATTAGCTGGCAAAATGGGATATACATTCATGAGAGTTCGAAACTTTGAACGCGAATCGAACCCAACAGTGTCTTTACTAGAAGATTGGTGGACATCGTTCGGTAAGAAAGGGGAATCAAAGACTGTTACTGATTTAATAAGATATCTTGAAGAAATGCGAAGAGATGATGCAGTTGACTTATTAAAACCTTATGAATACACAGGTAAGTTGAAGTATTACAAGCAAGTAAAGTTGCATTCGTAATAGACGTTTTTGACCTCGTCTGTCATCGAAATCTCTGTCATTGTAAGGATTTTTTGTTCTTCACGGACTGATATTCCTATTTTCTGTATGTTCCTTTTGATAAGTAAACGTTTTGGTGTTATATCATAGTAATTAACTATTTTATGAATCATAAACTTGCAGTCACGWTGTATATACTTCGAGTGTGTGATGGCAAATATTTCCTGCAAGCTAAGGGAGGGGAGGGAGGGGAGGGTTTACATTACTCATGAGCGTGACATGATGTGGTCTCACTGTTGAATAGCTATGTAAATTATTACATTTGGCTACTGTTCACTATTAAATGTGTCCAGGCAACCTCAAAGACATAATGCAGCTATCAATGGTTTGCTCCAGGATAGTTAGGGGTTAAAAATTGATTTACAAAATTGATATACAAATTGATTTTTTTTATTACAAATAATCAATTTCCCCATCCTTGGGCAATGGTTTAGAGTCAAATTTCATCCCTGGTGAGCAAAAAATCTTGCAAATAATTATAAATGACATCTTAGTCAAAATTCCCATCTATAGGGGATTGTTATCATTAAAGTGGCAAGGGTGGTCTAGTGGTTATAAGCTACTGGCCTCTCTCCGCTGTGGTCCGGGTTCGATTCCTGGGCACGGACCATATGTGAGTTTGAGTTTGTTTGATGTGTTGTTCTCTCCCTTGCCACGAGGGTTTTTCTCCAGGTCCTCCGGTTTTCCTCCCTCAGTAAAAATCAACATGTGAGGAGTGTTGTGTGCTAAAATAATTAATGTAGAGGTAGTGAGTGTGAGTGTGAGGGCCACAAGTTCATCAGTTCTTTACTGTCACGTGTTACCCTCGTAAAATAAAGTCGATTTATTTATTTATTTATTTATTTATTTATTTATTTATTTATTTATTTATTTATTTATTTATTTATTTATTTACTTACTTACTTATTTATTTATTTATTTATTTATTTATTTATTTATTTATTTATTTATTTATTTACTTACTTACTTACTTATTTATTTATTTATTTATTTATTTATTTATTTATTTATTTTAAAGTGCCTATGATGCATTTCTGATTCTTTTTGAGCTGATTCTATCGAATCGATTTTCGACAGCCCCCCTCTCCTTAGGAAATTCCAAAATCGCGTTGTACCTCTCTAGGAAATCAGATTAGCCCCATTCTCTCTCGAAAATAACCACTTTTTGAGAACGCAATCATAAAACTGATCATTCGAAAACAATGCATGTCATTGCTTCGTGAAAGTGCTTAAAAATCACGCAAAAATTGATGTTGGAATTAGTTATCTTTTACTCTGTCTAGTTAACGTCTATTAACAAGTAATGCTCGAACAAATTAGACTCGCGAGAAAAAAAGAAATGTTATCTGCGAAATTTCCTTAAACAGGCTCTACAATTTAGATAAAAGAGACCGATATAATGTTTTTGTGTGTCTTGGACAGGGTAATATTTTCATAACACCGTAGAAATAGTAGAAATACCATTTCACTGCCCCAGAATTAACGTGTTATCAAAAACTTCTTATTGTCTTTGATGGATGTCAGTATATTTGCAATTTTGATGGTTGCGGCATAGATAGCTATTCCTTATTTTTCCGATTTGTCTTGAACAGGGTATGGATTTTTACTTTTTAGTGTCTTAAACAGGGTCAGAGATTTAGACCGCTGGCGGCACGTACCTATCCAAAATGTGGTCGAGTACCCCTCCCCCCTCCCCCCGGAGGTTTTRAATTATGATCTATTCAGCATAAGTCTAGCTCATGAAAGTGAATTTAACTGACACTATATAATCAAAAACTCTAAAACTTCTTTTGAGTTTGTTTATTACTCGACTTATGGGTTTGAATTTGTAATCTAATGGAAGCCTGTATGCTCTTTTCCGTGCTTAGAGAACATGCAGCAGCTGCATGATCAGTGAATATTATTGATAATCACTTCGCTTTTGGTGAATAATTGTTAAACATTATACTGTACATTGCATTACAGAAAGAGCAGTGCAACTACCCAGATGTCAGCACCAAAAACCTGTTCCATTTGGAACATATTCACCTGATGGTATGTACTGTATAAAGCAGCCTATGTGACATATGTTCCTGGTCGTGACTATGAATGTGATGTTACACTAGGGACATTTTCAGGGATTGTTCCAACCAAAYAATTCGAATGTACATGTAGTTCCTTTCAGTTTTTTATAACCTTAACTTGAAAATATATTCAATTCCAAACAACTACTTATCAAGAAATATCATTTGTAAGAGAAAATCGAAGTTAAAGRCGTATGCAAATCAGGACAAATCTCTTGCTCATATAAAGATATTGTCATGGCAATGATTTTCCATTGTGTTTACCTTATGAATTATTAATGAATTTGATAATTATAAATGAGGCAACATAGGAATAGATAAGTGGATGAAAATGAGTGGACAATATATGAGTGAATGAATGGAAGTGCATTTTAGTTGGTAGACAATGGATGAATGAGTTAAGGAAGGAATGGATGGAAATAAGTAGAAAGATAAGCAAATTTAAATGAGAAATAGAACAAAACGTAGAAAGATAAGAATGATTAAATAAGAAATAGAAGAAAATATAAATAAAAAATAAACGGAAGAAAAGTATAGAAAAAACTGCAATGTAATATTTAACATGTGCGGGACAAGCTCGATAAAAGGTCAATTGTTAGGAAATTATTGTAAGTGATTCATATGCTTAAGACATCATGATGTGGAAAATACAAAAGACATCCTTTGAAAAAATATACTCCCTCTAAAAGAGACATTTTTAAAATTGTAACCCATACATAAAAACACTGTCCCTCCGTGAGACATAACAAACGAACAGCCTCTTATTTTTYAGAATTCAATATGACATTACACTTTTTTGTTTACAGATTTACAGCAAAACAGATGCCCTGAGGAAAATGAATTGCTCTTTAATCCAGATGCCCCTGAAGGTATTCATATATTACTTAATAATCACGACTGGTCTGGTGGGCTTCTGTGAAGTGTAGGCTTTATTTTCACCATGTTTTAGATATATTACGTACAATATTAAGTATGTGGGAGTGTAACACAAATGTTGTACCATATATCTGAACATAACCTTGGTTTATGACACATGTATAATGTATGGACATGTATAATTGAAACATCTTTACTGCATTTACTCAATATAATGTTTTGTATAATTTATCAACAAGCCAAAGCTAAAGAAAATCAAACTCAGCTACAGTTGTGCTGAAATTATTGAACATTTGCTGCGAGATACACTGTATATCAGTATCAATTGCAGTAATGCAGTATCAATTATTGATAAAGTGAATTCATCTTGATTTGATTGTAATAGCTCTCGCAACACTTAACCTCTTGTTGTAAACTACAAGCACTGGACATCCTAAATGACTTACTGAAGGTCATTTCTTCAAGACCCTCTTCCTTGATACTGTATTTTTTCCTCTGGGCTTTTTTTTCTGCAGCTGTGGTCTCAGGTGTACAAAACAAAATTGAAAACTTTATCCATCCATCATCTATGTCAGAGTCTAGAGCACAAGGTAAAAAAAATCATACAAGGACATTGAAGATTTTAATATATCTAGAATTTTATTGAACAGTTATYTAAAAAGATAAATTTAACACCGTAAAAAAGTATGTGGAAAAACTTACTGACGTTTCGGATGTTAATCCTTCGTCGGAGTAAAGAGGGAAGAATTTTATTGGTTAACTTATAATACTTTAGTATGTAATTTTATAGTAGTTTAATTAAAATTAGTACTTATGAAATTCATTATGTTAAAAGCATTATAAAATTGCTTAYCACTCATTAATTAGTTATGCAGTTAGATGGTAAAAGCCAGATCGATCACTTAACTTAACCAATGTGCTCTGAAATTGAAAGAACACTCACAATGATTGATTTGTAAATGTATGTATAAAGTGGAAGTTGTCAACCTGTTCTCAAAGCGTCATTGCTGCAGGTSACATGACATTACTAATCAGGATTGATATTGTTGTAGTACAGAACTTTTTGTTCCTTAAATCTTTTGATGAAGTTAAATGTTGAAATATATAAAGGATTGTGTATTTTACAATATTGATAGCCTTTTATGTGGTCTTAAATAGGTCGACATCCAGCAACAGTGGACCAAAACAGTCCGTTACCAAGATCTGAAGGTAGATTAAGCTAAAAAACGGCGATCATGATCTCTGATATATTATGATAGAAACCCAAACATGGTTAAGTTATTTGTACATTAGTGTGGAAGAGCTCTTTGGGAGCATTAATAAAGTTACTATTTATTATTATTATTAAGTGATAGAGTAGTTGTAAGGTAACAGCGTCTTTACACTGAAGCAAAAAGATCTTGAGCCTCAACATATGWACATGTTCAACTGATATTCAATTGAACTTTGACTAGTCAGTGTGTAAGACATTACTCTTTCTTTTCAGTACCAAGACCAATGGAGCCACCAAGTAAGAAAAATTGTGATGAGAAACACATGACCATCAAGCCCCGCGCAAACGCGAACAGCAATCGTTCAACGAAATTTAAAAAAACGTTACACTCAGCTTATTTTGGCAAACTGTCGCCGATCTGAGAATTGACTCAACTAAAAGATATTCATTGGCATAGTTTTCCAAGCCAAGACAGAATGAATTGTGATATAGTAGGAAGGATGTAGAAGTTCTGCAAAAATGCTGAATTTTGCATCGATGTTATTTCCCTGAGGAAGCTGAAAGAATGCAAAAGCGCGTTTTGTGGCGTTAAGGACGATTTGAGCGATTTTATGGACACTAGGCATAAGTGAAGGATATTATTTAGTAATAGGACATTTTCATGATTGCATAACTTTACTATAACTGCAAGAAAGCATTGTACATTTTTATTGTTATGAAGGTTTCTGAACGTTTTGAGGTTAGTAAAACAATACTGAGACTAATTTCATTACAAAAGAAAGTGGGCAAAGCATTCTGGTAGTTAATATCGCCAGAACGGAAATCGCCCTTTTAGGGGTTATTTTGTATAGGTTGAATGATGCTAATGAGCGACGAGTTTAGTACGCAGAGAAAGTTTATATGTGCACATGTGTATTACGAACGTTTGCCTTTGTGCGTGTGATGTTTGKGCATGGGATTGATGTCGAAGCAATTTGGAACGAACGCAAAGAACGACGAACCAAATTCATAATACATACATAATTCTGTCTATATTGACCTATAAGTACGTGCTATTCGTGTGATTTGCACACGTTATTAACCGGTTGTTGTTGTTGTTGTTGTTGTAGTTGTATCCGACAAAGTAGCACTAGTAATTGGCAATAAAGATTATCAGTGTGAAAGGCTGAGAGGGTTATTCTATCCGGAACGAGACGCTCAAGAAATCGCAAAAGCTCTAAGTGAGCTCGGATTCAAGGTAGCTATATTTTCTTCTGGTTTATGCACGTACAATTTCTCCTTGATTATCCTCCTTTTTATATTCAATCAATTGTTTTGGCCTTGTTCATATTCAATCAATAGTTTCTCCCTTTTTGATTAGGGTTTAGCGATATAATTTAGTACTACTTGAGTAGTCTCCTCGCAGCCGTTATGAGGCTCGTTCCCAGGTCTCTGAGAACTCGGAACGAGCCTAGTACCGGTTATGAGAGGAGGACAAGTTTAGAGAGACCTGCAAAACTCTCAATAATATATGTCGTCCGGTAACGTCATAGAGCGTCTGATTCTTACGAAACACTGAAACACAAGGCAAGAGTTCGCAGCTCACTTAATGAGTTTTATTAGACTAATGTTCCATAAGTCGGTCCCAGTTCACTCTTGGTGTTTGTCGCTCACTGGGTTGCTTTGAGCGAGAAACCGAACAAACGGAGGAGCGAAAAGAAGAAGAACAAATTTATTAAATATTAATGACATAAATTCTTAAATAACTCCCGTTCTGGCATTTCATGTTTGCTCGAGAATGGGACAAGTGTGCTTGATATAGAATTTTTTTTTTTAGGTCGTATCCCTTGTGAACTTAACTCTAAGCGAAATGAGGATTGCCGTCCTTTCGTTTTGTAGGCTTCTTGGTAAGATATAAACAATCATAATATATAGCTATATAACACTACTACTGATTTTCTGAAATTCAGCTTTTCGTGCTTGGATTTATTTATTCATTAAGATATCTTTCTATCTTAACAAATCGATTCAATTTTTCCGTGCTTCTGTAGTCTAATACCGGTAGATGCACAGAAAACGCAAAATGCTATGAGTACAAAAAAGTACGCCAGAGACGAGGTCGAGTGGCGTAACTGCCGTTCTCATCACATTTTATTCCCATGCGTAATTCCAGATATAGATACATTTTGCATTTGTAAGGGAATTTCCGGAATTTTTGATCATTTCTGAGTGCTATGCCTAGCCCAAAATACACTACTGGTGACTTACTGATCTTCAATATTTTTGTAAATTATATAAATTATATTATAATGAATGTCAGTGCTTTTTGGCCGTCAAAGATATCATTCGAGAACAATGTCTAAATGTTGTAATAACAACCATTGGTAATATCGTCAGGTAAATGTGTGTATGCTGTATTATATTATGGTGGGCACGGCTACGAAGACAGTGGTAAGAATTACTTGCTACCAATCGATGGAGACTTGATGTACAAAAGGGAGGACAGCTTGTGTGCTCAAGAAATACTTCAAACTATGCAAGATTGTGATACAGCTCTTAACTTGCTTATTATTGACTCCTGTCGAATAAGGTACTCCGAATTCTCTACGCATAATCAGTTTTGTGTCAGACGATAATGACTATACACCTTAACCATAATGACTGCAATTGTGTTTTTCCAAAATAAAATATATATGAATATTTTGTCACTGTAATATCAAAGAACTATCAGAAATAAAAAAWTTATGTTAATTAGATGGCGGCCATTATGGCCATTATCGAAAGTCGACCACGTGACGCGATAGTGCTCTTCGCGGATGGATGCTAACAGTGCTTAGGGCTTCAGAAAATTTTGTTGTTGGATTATAAAAACAATAGAGCAGGTTCAAATCTCGGGAATTTTGCTGGAATAGCTATTGCCCTTGGAAACTGGATGTTCCTCATAACATCATTGTCGCCCTCGAACTGATTTTTTTCGTAAAAGAAGTACAAGAACGAGTAAATCCAGACCCTGGTTCCCAGGGTAATCGAGCACGAGAATTTCGCATGCTCTTAATGCATATTAAGTGACTCGAAAATTACTGGACAGTGGCGTTTTGCAAGTTGCTGCAATACTTTGCGAAAAGTAGACTTAAGTTTACGTCATGCAACGCTCTGAACAATAAAAAAGGTTACGAGACGCTGTTGCGACACAAGTTACTAAGAAAATTGCTTTATAGTGACTGGGTCTTTGGTCCATCGTCAAGTTTTAATGTGAAATACTCACTTACATGCGTCACCGTCATTAATTTATGCTTTTCTTATTTCAACTATCGTAGACTTCCAGACAGAGGAACCCGACCCACCTTTATCAAACGTGGAGCAAAGGGAAACAATATATTCGCTTATTCATGGTAAGCAATAGTCCGGTCCCAGACCCTTTTTAGCCCGCTCCGTTGAAATGTTGGTCGCGGTAAAAAGGGTCCAGAAGAACTTGCTTGTGCATGAGTTGGATAACACCACATATATGTATTTTATATGTGTTGATTGCGAATTTTAGGACACGCAAAAAATCACAAAAATATACAAAATTTATTAGTCAGTAAGTTAGTTATTAGTTATTTAATTAGTACCGATTAACTAGTCCTCTGTATAGGATGTCCTTGAAACGAATAATTATCACATGTGATCAGTAGTCGTGATGGCGTAGTTTCATGTTTCAATCCTTTTATTTCACAACAAATTAAATTTGCGTGTCACTTTTTGCTCCCACAACCAAAATGGCGGCGTACAAAATGCCTTTATGCTTCCTTCCTTCCTTCCCTCCGTGTACCACTGCAGGAAGTCAATGCTCCGCTCGAAAATAAAAAAAGCGCTATAATATTTATTAAAACGTGAAAAAATTGCATTCGAACATTTATCTTTGAAATTAATAATATTAGAAAAATCAATTACAAGCAAAAAATCCACAGGAGTGTGTATGTCATAAGTATGACACGTTTCCACATCTGGGAAATCGATTTGCGAATGATGAACAAGCGTTTTGAGGTTCACTTTTAGGAATAAGACAAAAGGAAAACAGGATGACTTTTCGCTTTGATATTTCGACAACAAGAAAAAGATGATGCTGTATTAGAAATGGTGCAAATATATGGGGAAAAGCAACAATCTGAGTGAATTGCGATTATAAAAAAAACGACTATCTGCAGCATTTTCCCGGTATTTCAGAGAGCAACACTTACTGGAGGTTCAAGGTAAAAACTTAAGATAGTCTTGTACGAACTTCTCATAAACATGAGAATCTCTTTTGTATAACCTTTTTGAGCTAAATACATTAAGTAATGTTTAAAGTCCGACAATGAGGATGGAC